CACTCGAACCCGAGCCCTCCGCGACGGCAACGCCAGGTCGTCGCGTCCGCCCCGCTAGCCCTTGAGCACACCTCTCGCATACCGATGACTGCACTCGGCGTCCACCGGCGGGGGACCATGGAGGAGCGGTCAGCAGTCTCGACTTTCCGACCCGCGTCTGTCCTTCGTGCACAGGTACTAAGCACATCCTACTCTCGCTGCTGGCTGTCCACACAGCCAGACCTAGACACCTGCCCACACATCGGATCATTGCCCCCTCTGTGCCCATCGCCCCACTGGCCCCTTCCCCACGGCCCTCGCTGCGCCCTGCACAGAGCCTCCCCGACGGAATGAAGAAACACCAGGGGTGTGGAACCACCCCGACCAAACCGACGGCGCGTCGGGGCCAGCGCTCTCAAATGCGCCCCAAACAGTCCTGCCATTCTCCACGCCGACCGCCGCCCAGCAGCCAGAGCTGGCAGAAGCCGACGTGGCCGACGTGCAGCCGATGCAGATCGACCCGCCGGGCTCCGGACGCAACCTCGCCGTCGCCCCCTGCTCCCCCGCCGCTCCCGTCCACCACGCCGCCGTTGCATTCGATCAGCCGGTGCAGCAACAACCGGCTCGGGGGTCTATTGCAACACATATGGAGAGCTTCCTGCGTGACCTCGGGGAGGCGCGCGACGCCTGCAACGAGCTGCCTTTTGACGATGCGCTGCGCGACAAGATAGCTACCGAACTGGATCGCATCGAGGCTGCTCCGCCTCTCGAGCGCATGTTGGTGACGAAGCCTCGCCACTCGTTTGCACGGGGCGGAGAGGATACTTCGCGCTCTGGTTCCGTGCTTAGAGCCTACTGTATACTTGATGCAGAGCTTTCCGACGTCATTGTGTTTGCAGCTCCGCGCTCGACGCCCGCACGCGCGCGCCCGCGCGCCACCCCTTTTGCGCAGCAACACCTTAAATTTCATGGCCCCCAAATTCGGGTCGGAGCGTAGCGGAGTGGGCCCCGAGTTTGAAAACGGCGACGGACGCTTGCGTCCTAGCCGCCAACAACGCCTCCCCGGCGCAGAGGGGCCCCCGGAGGGACGCTCAACCGCTCCACGCCACGCCGCTTGCGGCGGTCCTATTCCACGCTCGCGAGGGCGGGTTCTGCTTTTTCTTTTTCCACGCGGTATGCGAGGCCGCAGCGCTCACCGTGCCGCCGGCACGGTGATGATGCGCCTTTTGCTCGTCGTATTGACCGCACTCCATTCAAACGCCGCCGACCACTACGCAACCTTGAAGGTGCCGCGAGGCGCCAAGCCCGACGAGATCAAACGATCGTACCGGCGCGAGGCGCTGCGGTGGCACCCAGACAAGCACACTGGCGCCGCAGCAAAGTCGCAGGCGCAGCAGCGGTTCGAGAAGGTCAACGAGGCTTTCTCGGTGCTGTCGGACCCGCAGACGCGGCGGAGGTACAACCTCGAGCTGGACGCGGAGCGGGCCGGCTTCCGCGCGGGCGGCGGCGGCCGCGGTGGCGTTGCGAGTGGAGGAGGGCCGACGCAGACCGTGCGGGTGCAGTGCAGCCTTGAGCAGCTGGGAGGGTGGGCGCCGGTGCTCATCCCGATCCCGCGCCCGGGCGGCTTCTTCGTGCGCACGGGAAAGCTCCCGCCCGGCAGCCGGCCCGGCGACACCGTCCTGCTTCGCGGCGTCGGCGGTGTCGAGGCGCGCGGAGAGAAGACGAGACGCGCTGGCGTAGAGACCGGATCCTCGCCTCGCTCTCGCAGCGCCGCAGGCGGCGAACCCGTCGCCACCTCACGCGTCGCCGCGCCCGCCGCCCACAGGTGCGCCTCGAGGTCGCGGCGCGAGACGACCGGTCGCCTCGCTTCTCGCGGTCGGGCGACGCGGGCCTGTCGCGCGTGGTGAAGCTGCACGCGTGGCACAACGCGCTGAGGCCGGCCGTGCGCGTGCGCACCATCTGCCGCCAGCGCGTGACGGTGCGACCGCGCGGGAAGGCAGTACGGCACGCGACGGGCGGCGAGTCGCGGCGGGCGCAACGGGGCTGCGTCGGTGTCACCGCGGCGAGCGTGCGAGCGTAGGTGCGGCGAGGCGGTGCGGCTGGCGGGGTACGGGATGCCGCTGCGAGGCAGTGGCGCGACGCCCGAGGCCTGACGCACCCTCGCGAGCGCACACTGACGCACGCGCGCTCACAGACCCCATCCGCGCACGTGGGGGCGGGTGGGTGGGCGGCGGTCGCGACAGTGGCTGGCCAGCGGCTCGTCACACGCCCCGCCACGCGTCTCAGGTGTGCGAGCGCGGCGACCTCGTCGTCGAGCTGCAGCTCCGGTCGGTCAGCGAGTCGCTCTCGAGGACGGCGGGCTTCGCAGTTTTCTCCGGCGCCGCCGGCTTGTTTGTGAGCGAGGCGCCGCGCACCACCACATCCGCCAAAATAATCCGCCGGACTGCGCCACCCCACGCCTCAACCGTGAGCACGCCTCACTCACACTCGCAGGTGCTCCTGCGGCGCATCGGCATCGCACGGCTGCTTCGACTGACGGCCAGCGCGGCGGTGCGGACGCTGGGTTTGGTGGCGATGGTGATCGCCGACCCGACGCGGTGATGAGGTGGACAGGCGTCTTATCCCCTGACTTTTCAAAGGTAGGAGAGGTAGAGCTCGCTAAGGCGGGGGCAAAGTGTAGTACGTTCTGGTACAGTCTTAGATTTTTTTCATCAAAACACTCTAAGTACTAAGAGGTAAGGTAAGGTAAACTTCTCCACACACACGAGGTGGTGCTGGTGGGGCAAGGGGGGGCAACCCTCGCGTCTCCACGTCTGACGACAGGAGCCCCACGGCATTCAAAGTGCAAGGCCCAGTGCGCGTGGGTGAGCGGTGTGTGTGTGTGTGTGTGTGTGTGTGTGTGTGTGTGTGTGTGTGTGTGTGTGTGTGTGTGTGTGTGTGTGTGTGTGTGTGTGTGTGTGTGTGTGTGTGTGTGTGTGTCACGTCACTGCATCCTCCGCGAGAAATGAGACGCACGAAGGTATTAGTATAGATGAGACTTGCGAGATTATGACATCCCAGGTCTACGGCTTTCGGTCTAAAGTAGGTGGTGGTGTCTGGTGACGCGCGCGCCCCGCCCCGCCCCCCGCGGCGTGTGTGGTGACATCTCTGGGGACAGTGTGCTTTGTAGCTGACACCGCGCTCATCCGAATATCTCGTCCCGCAGCTGGTGTGTTCTCGGCATCCCTTGTTGGGGTAGAGTCCTGAACGTGCTAAGATGCGGCATCAGATGGCGCTGCTGGGTAGGCTGACCGAGATCATGCCGCGCCCAGGAGCTGTCGTTGGCGCCGTGCGTGGCCAGACACGCTGCGCGTGCCTCGAGCAGACCTTTGAGCATCGCGTCGGTGAAGGACCCATTCCATCCACCGTTCCATCCTAGGGAGAGCTGCCCATACCTCGCTCGCCTCCGATATCCATACGCTCGCCGACCCTCGCCGAGCGCCAAGGCCGTGTCCGCATAAGGGTCGACCGGGCCCTTGTAAGCCGCAAAGGCCACGGCGCCGACAGCACGGGCGAGCTGAAGGTACTCGCCCGGAATGAAGTAGTGCTTTGGGAAGAACTCGACGATGGCGGTGCACGGCCTCGCCCACAGAAAGTTGACATTCTGCGCGCCGTGCGGTGACAGCAGAATGTCCTGCGCGTGCACCCACTGCGCTTGCTCCTCGAAGCCCAGATCGCCCAGATCCGACATGTAACTGAGCGTAGCTATCTCGCGCGCGGCCAACGCGCGTGCTAGGGCAGCCATTGCCTTATCGGCATCGACGATGCGCCGGCTGCCCTTTCGATTCACGAGACCGACACGTACAGGAAGCCCAGCCACCGTGGGCCGCTCCGCCTTAGGCCCGCCCGTGGGGGCTTGCCCGACAAAGAGCCGATTTTGGAGCTCCGTCGCGTCGGCGCGGCCAACGAGCCAAGCCTGCTCGCTGCCGGTCCAGCCGGTCCGGAGCCTGCGCAGCCGGCCCCTCACGGCGCAGTCTGCCGACCTCTTTCGCCCGCGCGGTGCCACGCTCGCGTTGATGAGGCGCATCAAGCCGATGGTCCACGCCGAGTCACCAAACTTGATACCGCTCGCGAGGCTGAAGCGGGGCGTGAGGGCCGGGTGCTGCCGGAAGAGGGACCAGCACGCCAGCTGTGCTTCGGCCGCGTGAGGAAAGTGCACGAGTGCCTTTGCAAACGAGTTTTCCTTGTCGATGACGCATTCAACGTGCGTTGGCACACATCGCCTGTCGGGGCTATCGATTGTGTAGTCGTCGAGTGACAGAAGGTAACCGGCGCTGGCCAGAGGCTGCGATAGCCTCCAACGCGATCGGTTCTGCTCGTCGCCGATAGCACTGGTCGGAGAGAAGAGCCTGCTCCTTTCTCTCAGCACCCGGTCACCGAATGCGACAGCCGAAGCCATGTCGCAACGGCCGTGATGCCGGTGCCGAGGCGCAATGCTGAGCGGCTGGGGCAGTGACGGCGACGGCGGTAACAAGGAAGGAGGGGCGCTGAGTTTGTTGCGACGGCGACGGTGGTCAGGGCGGATCTGGCGGCGAAGTCGACTTGCCGGACGGACGTTATCTAATCCGAGGTGTGTGAGTAGAGCCGATTGTTGGTTAGAAAGTGCTCCCAGGTAGATCTCCCTCACCAGAGTGCCAGTGCGCAGAGAGAGAGAGAGATTTCTAGTACGATACCCAACAAATATCTCTAGCACCACACACATCATTTTTTGGGCCTCGATCGATCGGCAGCCGCAGCCGCAGCAGCCGCAGCAGCACGAGTTGGAGAAGCAGCCGCAGCAGCAGTCGGAGAAGCAGCAGCCGGAGCAGGTTGTTATAAGTTAGGTCATAGAGAGCACAGTGGTGTTGGCTCAAAACCGATGAGAGACAAGAGCTCACACACAAAATTATACACGAGTCTTTCCGTCGGCGCGGGTTTGTGGCTTGTGCTCACGCCACAGAGGCGCAAGACCGAGTAGACTGCGCCAGAGAAGAGAGAGCGGATCACAGCCCCTTCACCTATTCGCAGCAGGGGGAGGTGAGGAGCCGCCTCGCTGCGTGGCAGTGGCCGAGCGCGAGGAGCGCACAAGCAGCTCCGCAAGCACATCCTGCCAGCGCGCTACGCGGCGGATGGACAGGTCGAGGGCCTCGTCGGTCGCATTCCAGGGGTAGGCGCCGAAGAGCAGAGTGGGGATGCCCGCCGCGGCGCACTGGCGCGCGTAGGTGAGCGAGTCGTCCACCAGCGCGACGGCGCCGATCCGCTTGCACATCTCTGGCTTGCTCGTCTTGGCGCCCTCGCGCCCAAAGTGGTTGCCAAAGTGCGCCGCCGTGAAGAGGCCCTCAAAGTGGCGCGCCAAAAAGGCGCGCGTCTGCGGCTCGATGTCGCTCTGCCGCGACGTCACCACGTGCAGCTCGAACTTTGCGCGCAGCAGCCGCAGCGCCTCCGCCGCGCCCGGCAGCGGCTCGATCCGCGCGAAGAAGTCGGAGGCGTGGAACTCGTACACGCGGTCGAGCGCCGCCTCGCGCGAGGCGAGCCTGCAGCCGGCGACCTCCCAGAACATGTAGCTGTGGAAGTCGGCGGCCTCGACGCTGGTGCCGTGGACAGCGTTCGAGAACTTGCAGAACGCTGGCAGATAGCCGCAGCACACCTCGTCGAGGTCGACCGCAAGCACGGGCTTTGGCGTCGCAGCGCGCGCGGCGCGGCGCGCCGATATCCGGCCTGCGGACGACACCAGCAGCAGCGCGGCAATTCCGAGCGAGCCACGGTCCCCCGCGCCAGCGCTGCCCGCGACCGCCTCGGCGCACTCCTTGAGCAGGATGGCTGTAGCGACGGCGATGAAGATGGCGATGCCGGCGTCAATCTCGCGGAGGATTGTGGCGAGCATGATCACGATGAGCGGCCGGGCCGTGGGCAGGCCGTGAACGCGCGCGCTCCCCCGCGAATTTCTTTTTATTTTTTGATTTAGGAGTATCGCTTGGCACCTTGGATAAGGGGGGGGGGCGACAGGAAGAATGTGGACCTGAGTTATGTGTACGCCAACTCAGGGTGTGTGGCAGCCAGCTGGCTGTGTGTCTTGTGAGCTTGTTTGTGTCGCTCGTGCGTGTCGTCATCATCTGTGCTGTCCAGCGTCCACCCATACCGCGTTGGTGTCCAGTCCGAGCCTGGCTGTTCTTCACCTTCCTACATACATACATA